CCACATTCGAGTCTCCACATATTAAGATTTTCAGCCCATCTGGATTACTTACCCGAGATGCTGCTACATACAACTGTCCATGGTTAAACACGGGTTTCTTTAATAGTAGTCCGACATTAGATAAAGTTTGTCCTTGACTCTTGTTTATTGTCATAGCATATGACAACATTATTGGAAATTGCTTCCTCTGAAATTTAAACGGTAGTCTTGGGTCAGAAGGAGTCAATCCCAATCTTGGTATTAATACCCTGGTGCCTGCATTGTTGCCACACAGAATTGAGCTTCAATGACATGGTTTCCTAATTGTGTAATGATCAACCTTGTACCATTGCACAATCTCAATGAGTGGTCTATATTTCTGAGCAGCATAATTGGCGATCCAACCTTTAATGTTAAAGAATGGTTTGGAACACCGGAGCATCTCAAACTGTTAAGGAACTCTGTAGTGTGAACCTCCGATAACATATCAGAACTTGTATCTGACTTGCAAACCGAATCACAGCTCAAATATGTCTTGGAAGTTGCCTCATTCATACTGTTCATGTATTCATTCACCTTGTCCACAACATCTAATGTTAGAGCTAATATAGCTCGGAACTCTAAAAATTTATGATCAAATTGACCATGACCGTATGAAGGAAATGTGCTTTGACAATTTCTGCTATGGGGTCAACTTCATTTCTTAAAACAAAATTATCTGGAATCCCTTATATTGAAGACACCATTTTTCTCTTCTCCTAAATTTCCATCTCCTAGATCAGCAATCCATTTTGCAAAGCTGTTTAACTTAGCAACTTCTTCTGCACTTGAAATTCCACGCAACCTAAGATTCTTGGTTAAGCGTAGTACTTCGCAATTACTCCACAAGTATGATGAGTTTATACTTGCTTGTACTATTTCTTGTCTGCTGCCTTTTGGTATAACTGGTAGTATTTGTCTAAAATCACCTCCAAGTACCACTGTTTTTTCCAACCAAAAGACATTTCTAAGCTTTTTGGATTGGTGAATCGCAATATGTCTCTCATTGTCCGATCTAATGCTTCAAAACAATGTTTGTGCATCATCGGAGCTTCATCCCATATGATTAACTTAGCTTTTATAATCAATTCAGCAAGTGGACTACCTTGGCTAATGTTGCAAGTTGAGTCTTCATTCACTGCAATGGGGATAGAAAATCTTGAGTGTGGCAGTCCTTCCACCCGGTAAAAGTAGCGAGGCTATACCGCTTGATGCTACATTCAAAACAACTTGTCCCTTTGACCTTAAAGCAGCCGACAGTGTCCTCCATAAAAATGTCTTGCCAGTTCCACCATATCCATAAACAAAGAACAAACCACCTTTATTAGATTCAACATCCACAATCACTTTGTTGTATATGAGTAATTGTTCATCAGTTAGTTTAGAAAACAGAGATTCATGTTCTAGCTTTAAAGCTTCTTTGTCATACGCCAATTCTTCGTATAACAACCGATTACCGAAATAGTATTCATGACTTTCCACTGGCATCGGCATTGGTGGATAATCACTTAGAGACTTGTTCCAAGCATTCAACAACTTTTCCACTTCCATTAGTGCCCCATTTTTCTTCTGTTCGTCATTGAGCATCAAATCTACATAATTTATAAACAAATTAGTTGAATATATAACTGCAAAAAGTACATTTAAGTATGTGTTTTTGAAGAAGAATTGTTTACCTGGATTACTTGTATTTCTTTTAGCATTGAACTCAACATCATCAGCTAGGTATTGCCAAACAATATCCCACACTTTCTCTGGTTTCGCCATTGAATTTGATGTCAATAAGGTTACAAACAATTTACGTAAAGAATGTGCTGAGGACCATATCGCTGCTTCACTAATCGGGTCAACATACTCTTTATCATCCTCGATTAAACCATGTGCATAACAGGCATCTCTAAATGAAGTATACTGCACCCCCTCAAAATATTTAATTTCATCAAAGGACCTTGGTCCACGCACAATATTAAGTAAACATCTAAGATAGAAGATTTCTCCGCTATTTGGCGGAACATAAAAAATACGACCAATTGCAAACTTCCTTTGCCTTGGATGCCACTCTCTCTTATCTTTTTTCCATACAAATTTTGTTGGCATTTCAGCGTAAGTCAAGTTTCTTGCCTCGCTATATTTGCTGTTAGCATCAAACCATGCCGTGAACATACTTTGTCTCACAGTTGAACGGTTAACAACATCATTGACAACATCATCATCATTAAATATGATTGATTGCTCATTTGGTAGATGAAAGCTCAAGCGCTCTACAGACGGATCCCTCGTCTGTATATCAAAGGCGAACATCCTCCATGCTGCCTCACAGGGTGAAATATACCTACAATCATAATACATCTTGATCTCATCGATTACCTTTCCATTAGCTTCATCAGCAACACTGTTGTAGAATTCAGCCGTAACCCGATCATTCCCCTTGTTCACATACTTAAATAAGTACTTAATTGATCTGGATTGATTGCACCACTCTACATTTATATGAGCCCTATACTTCACCAATAAATGCCTGTTGTGTGGAACGACATACCTGCTATCTAGATCAATACCATTTTTCTTTATGGTCCTACCGTTGTCACTCCTACGGTAAACAGGATAACCCTCTTCATCCATTGTTGATTTCTCTACAAATTTCTTTGGATAATATTTGGAGCATCTACCATTAACCATGCATGGTGAATTCTTCCTACACGTACCACACGGACCGTGCATCATAAATTCTTCTACTGCTTTGTGATACTCTGGGTCGCACAACTCACTTGGTATATCTGCTGAAATGAAGTTGTCTAAATCTGTTGCAGCCACAGACCCACGGTGATTTGCCAGAAACAACAATATGTGGGCATGCGGTAAACCTCTTTTCTGAAATTCAATGGTATAAATCACTACAATAAAAAAACATTAATAAATTCAGTATTCTGAAATATAGATCAAAGGACTTGTTAAAAAATAAATAATTTTTTAAACTTTAAAACATATAAATTCTTTACCTGCTAGAACAGAACCAAATATGTTTTCTTTACGAATCTCCTTGATTAGAGCATTTAACTTCATCTTAAAGACACGACATATTATATCTGGCCGATCTTCTGCCTTTAACCTTCTCTCTTCCAAAAATCTGACAATTTCAGGCCATTTTGGGTTACATGTGAATGTAATAAAGAGAGTTGGATACCCAATCCATCGACATATTGCCATCGCATCCTGGTAATTTTGGACCATATATCTTGCACCACCTGTAAAAGTTGAAGGCAAAATAATTCGACGGCCTTGGGCAGATGGATCAAGTTCACCATGGGTCAGAGCATCTGTCAAGCATTTATAAGACTCACATCTCAATGATCTTTGGTGAGTCCTAAACATATACTAAACGCCCAGATTCGATCATAGTGTATGCATCTACCAGGAATTGTTGTAACAACCTTCTTGCGAACTGATAAACATTATTTTTAGTGTTATTTTTAATAATATTTTTATAGTTAATTTACAATAATTGATTAATTATATACATATTTTTATTTATTATTGTTATTAGTAGCTTTGTTAATATTATATTTAATTTTAGGTTGTTTTACTTATTAAATTTGTTTTATTATTTGATTTCTGTTAGTCTTATAGTTCTTGATCCTAATTTCTTATAATAATATTAATTTTAGTAGTACATGATCAGTAGGTGTTTAATAAAGGTAGATTAGTTATATATGGTCTCTAATAAATTTTATTATTATTATTATTATTATTATTATTATTATTATTATTATTATTATTATTATTATTATTATTATTATTATTATTATTATTGAGAAAGGAGCCGCGAGAAATAAGATCTTCAACAAATCCAGTCTTTGAGTGATCCGAATGAAACGTTGAGCGGAAGAGCAACCAATAATTAACACAATTTTAGTGAGCAGTCCGGAATAAGCTGTTGGTCTAGGGAGTATAAATTGAGGCCAATTCAGAGAAAACATCATGAATCTTACCCCGGATCAATTCCGGAGGTGCGAACAGAAGAGAAAAATCGAGGTCCGCGGCAGCTTCAATTCCGGGCGGTGGCTTCATTCGGCACAAATTAATTATTTGGTGGCAGCAGCTTAGCAATTTTCACACGGCAATTCATCACTCCCTTTGCTCTTTATAATTGTTTATTTACTCTAATCATTGGTTGTAGTTGTTAAGTGTTGGTAGATTAAATCTTGCGAGTTTGTTGGGAGATTAAATCTTGTGAGTTAGTTGCTGTTAATCCCATAATGCATTGCTAATTAAATTTGCTTGAGAACATGATCTAATTTCTATGAACATTTCGCATTAACTTGAGTTTTAATATTGCCTATTAATTATGTTTTATCTAATAATGATTTTATTGAGATTAGTTGAGTTGAATTGATCAATCTATTCCGAGTTACGTTAATCTAGCCTTTATTCCCTAGTTGTTTTGTTTTGTGGTTAATTTATTATTATTTTTTTTCTATCTTTATTTTTGCCTGCATTTCCGTTTAGTTTAATCCATGTTGATTGTCGTTTAGTTTAATCTATTTATTATTCTGTTTTCTGGTTTCTGAGTTTTGTTATTTTTGCATTTGATTCAGTACTTTACATTATCAAGTCAATTAATTTAAGTTTAAGTTATTAAATTGCATATTATCAATTCCTCTTGGGTTCAACCCTTGCCTTTGCACACTACCACTACACTGACTCGTGCACTTGCGAGGACATTATATATTAAAATTGTCCAACACGAACAACAATGTTGACATCTCATTCTTTCTATCTTGAATATAATAGGAGAAGTATTCTCTAGGACTAATCCTAATACGACCAGGTCGGCCTTGTTGTTGAACACCTGAGAATTGAATATCCTCTCTATATCCATCTTCACCAAATGGGAATAACAATGGGTACTGCAGTGGTAGATAGGCCGGGTTTAATTCACTAATCCTTTTTAAAAATACCAGATCTTGATTCCACCAAGATATCACGTTCTCCCATATTTGGATCTAAGTCTCCCACTATCAAAGCCGCCACTTCACTGACTTGTGGTAAATTATACGTTCGCGCATCCTTATTCCTCTTTCCTATTAATTTGATCTTAATCTCTGCCATCGGATTTGTTTCAATCTCTGTTCTTGCCATGCGAAAACTTTTTACTAAGACATTGTTTTGATCTAATGCGTCTTGTATGTCTTGTACTATCTCTGCATGTAGTTTATTGTGAACATCATCTTCTCTGTATATTTATGACAAAATATATTTAATTAGCATAATGTAGTAAAAATCGAACAATGCAATTTATATATAGAATGGAATTGACGTACCTAATTGCATCGATGCGATTTTGTATTTCGTTTTGAGTATCATATATGTACAATTGAGCAAACTTCGGTCGAGAGCCAAATTCAGGCATTAGGCTTCCCAAAAGGTGGAAATTCTGACCGTGTAAGCGGAAAACAGGTGGTGCAGTACCATTATTCAAAGTCCTATCAATTTTTCCACCCATTGAAGTGAAGCAAAACATATTGTTGTAGGACCTAATATTTTTTAAAAAATGACCACTCTTGTTGTCATTCTTAAAAAACAAATCAAACAATGCAGCCGGCGGAGTTGGTTTAGTAGGCAACTTGATTTTTCCGTGAGTACAACAAAGCGAATACTTTGGTCTTGAAGTTCCCAAAATTTGGTTGATCCTTTCTTCCATCCAAAACACCGCACCACAATGGTCACATGAATATATTGGATCACCAAATTCTAAATATGTACCTATAAAAATTTTTGTGAATTAATGTTATGTTCTTAATTGAATATACACAATCAACAAATCAAACAACATATATATTGAATTCTACAAATTTGAAAATAATATACTAACCATTCTGCAAAGATGTAACATAAGTTGATCCTCTAGTGACCGTGTCAAACTCGGGCATTAACAACCTATTCAACCGTACATTGCCTTGATTTAAGGTTGGATTCACAACACATGAACCTAAAATGTTTTAAATTGAGATTTGGAAACAAAGAAGATAAATGACATGAATGTAAAAAATGATTAAAAATTCCAATTATTGAGTATTATGAGATTTACCGTTTCTGTTGTCTTGAAAGGGATGACGAAGAATATTTTTGATTAACATTCGGCACTTCCCCTATTGTCTGTTGCATATTGTTGAATTTGTATAATAACCTGGGACCATTGGAAAATAAGAATTTGAACGATTAATTATAAAATTTTAAAACATAACATTTTACAATTAATTACCTTTTAGCGGTATTTAACAATGGTATAGTCTTAAAAATCAATTAATCAAGCAATCAAACAACATATATATTTAATTCCTAAAATTGTAAAATAATATACTAACCATTCTGCAAAGATGTAACAGAACTTGATCCTCTATTGACATTGTCAAACTCAGGCATTAAGAACCGATTCAACCGTAGCATTGCCTTGACTTAAGGTTGGATTAACAACACATGAACCTAAAAAATGTTGAAATAGAAAAAATTAAAAAAACTAAGATGAATTAAATGAATCTCAGAAATCATTAAAAACTGTCCGAATTTTTTGAGTTGTATGAGATTTTACCGTTTATGTTGTCTTTAACGGTTTGACAAATAATATTACGGTATCCATTCGGCACTTCCCCTATTGTCTGTTGGCATGTTGTAGAATTTGTATAATAACCTGGGACTATTGGCAAAATAGGACTTTGTAACATTAATTACAAATTTTAAGAACATAACATTTTTACAAATGATTACATTGTAGCGGTATTTAATAATGATCTAGTCTTTAAAATCAAGCAATCAAACAACATATATATTTAATTACAACAATTTTAAAAGAAAATACTAACCATTTTGGCAAAGATGTAAGAGAAGTTGATCCTCTAGTTACAGTGTTCAAATTTAGCATTAACAACCGATTAAACCGTAAATTGCCTTGAGTTAAGGTTTTATTACAACACATGAACCTAAAATGTGTAAACTGAAAAAATTATAAAACTAAATGAATGACATGAATGGAAAAAATCATTAAAAAAAATCAATTTTTTCTATTTTATTAGATGTACCGTTTATGTTGTTTTTGAATGGTTGACAAATAATATTTTGAATTAACAATTCGGCACTTCCCTAATGACCGTTGGCATGTTCAGAATTTTTTATATTAGCTAGTACTATTAAATTTGTAACAACATTTAATTATACAAATGATTACATTGTAGGCGGTATTTAACATGATATAGTCTTAAAAATCAAGCAATCAAGATATATATAATCCCTAAAATTTTAAATAATATACTAATCATCCTGCCAATGGTTACATTTTAAAATAAATGATTAATTACAACTTACAAATTATTAAAATATAACATTTGACAAAGGATTACATTGTATGAGTATTTAACAATGATATAGTCTTACAAATCTAAAAAAGATTTAACATAATATATAAAATGTTTAACGAACAATTGAAATAATAAAATTAATAACATATACGCCAATACCATTAGTCATGGTGCTAGAATGGGGTTTCCATATTGTTACGAAGAGGCCTAAGTACACGCCTCTTATTCGTTGTTAAAGTGTTGTTGCATGTCAAAATGGACTTTGAAGTGCTTGGCAAATGATTGGTTTTGATTACCTGAACAAAATAGCAAGAAAAAGCAATACTTCAATCTTACGCTAAAACTAAATTTCATTCTCCAAAAAACACACTGAAAAGAAAAATTATTTACCATTCATTTGATTGCTTGACGGGGTGTTTGAATTCTTGTAATGGTATTGGAAGTGTCATGATCTCTAAAGGTTGATATGATTCTCTTTATCAAATGGATTTCTAGATTGGTAGATTGATTTTGTCCCAACTTCATCTTCTGCCATATCAAATACGCAATTAACACTTAGTTTAGCTAAATATATCAATATATATATTATAATTGGAACTCTAAGTTAAGAACATTCCGATGAATACATCAATTTCTTTAGTACCAATTCAACATATTATGATTTATGCAAAAAATGACATTGTAAGCAGTTAAATGTTAAAAAACTAAATAAATAATTATTTAGTTATTGATCAAAGTGTAAACCCTATGTGATATACTAAATAAATAATTTATCTGTATTTTTATTAATCAAAGTCTTCTCTGTACCAATATATAAATTAAAAAAAAAAAAAAAAAAAAACAATATGCCAACCTCGGCATACACGTGTAATGTACCCATGATCCATTTAGCTAGGTAAGACTTCCTTTTCTCAGAAATGAAGAAGAAATGTCGAGAAGAAGCATTCTAGACATTTCCGATCTCTAGCTATCTGTGTTACCATGGACCTATCTAGACAAAGCACTGAATCCTTCTATATTTCTTCATCCTACTTCACTGACTGCACCTTACCTCTCTTGTTCTACTGTTGTCAATTTCTATTTCTACGCATCAAGATTACATAGAGTATTAAGTTGTAATGTTTTCACAATCCAGATCTGGAAACGTAGAATGAGTATTTGGTTTTATTTTCCTTTGAGTTCTGTTCTACCAAACAGTTGTAATGCTTCTCCTTCCTAGATCTAGAGCTGTTCATGGCCCAAAAGTTTTTGGTTTTGAGATGGTATAAAATTTTCGATCATCTCTAATAGTTTTCTACGGATCTACAGTGCTCTGTTGCTAGAATCTGGATTTTAAGACAGCCGATCTCAAAGAAGGATATACAGATTTGCTTAACAGGTAGTTTTAATTATATATATACAAAATTGTTCTTATACAAACCATATGTTTTTGTTTTACTCTATAAATTCATCGCCGGGTTATAAACAAACTGTAATCTGATTTTCATTGTTGTCTTCCCTAAAATGTCGCAGCCAGAAAGATTTACTCTGAATTTTCTACGAAAGAGAAGAATGCAGATAAAGCCTTATAGGTAACCAAATGTTTATTACCTTGGTTGAGTTGTTATGTTCTTCCTTTTGTCGGCAGATGACTGTGGATGCACTGATCTTCCCTCATTGCGTGAGCAGTAGTATTCCTTTGTGTGTAATCTGGTAGGCTATGTGCAGAGCATGCTTGAATAAGTTTTTTTTCTGTCAGTACATTAGACTGCAATTACTTGATTTTTGAGTTGATATAGAGCAGGATTTGATTCCCATTAATGATTAGTCTTATTGGGAATAAGAAAAGTTCTTTTACTATTCCACCATTGCCATTAATTTGACTTAAATATTTATTTCATACTAACCATTTACTTGCCAGAAAATGGTATATGATGAACTTTGTTTCTAATGCCCCATGTTGAATGTATCTCGATTGCTATACTTGAATGTAGTTATGTATCTAATACATATAAGTTGTTTGCAAAATAAATTGCAGATGATTAATTATGATGTAGATGGTAGTGTATGTAGCTTTATGTTAGTTTAATATTACTGCTTATAGGATTACTGCTTTGCAATAAATTACTTTGTTTAGCGATTAGTGAATTTATCTTAACTTTTTATTCACTACTAACCTTTATTTTTCAGGATTTGACAGGTGATGAAAGTACATTCTGATGCCACAATTTATTCCAACGTGATCAAACATACCTATACATTCTGCTACACTCATTATAGACACAATAAGAGTTTAAATTTAGTGTTTTATGGTCCACTATTTTAATGCAGTACTCACTATTTGCTTATTTGGTTTAAAATCTCTTGTTCTTGTTTAACTGAATTAATAGTTGCTTATTTGGTTTAGTGTCTGTTTACAAAGTTAAAAAACCTCTGTGAATGTTGCATTATATTCCAGTCAGAGGTAAATGAAGACATAGGCTGCCAAGGGTATTTATTTTCACTAAAGTATTCTTACATTTATAATTAGCATTAATGCAGTATTTTTTAAACATTCACAATTTTTCAATATCATTATATTTTTAAAACCTGATTTGGCTATATATATGTTATCTATGTTCTAAAACTGAATTAATACTTGCTTATTTGGTTTACTGTCTGTTTTAAAAAGTTAAATAACTTCTGTGAATGTTGTATTAATTCCAGTCATAGCTAAATGAAGACATAAGCTACCCAGGGAATTTATTTGCACTAAATTAATCTTAAATTGTAAGTTTACATGAATGCATTAATTGTAGCTCCATTATTTTAGTTTTAGGTAATGTTTTTGACTTAAGTCTGGAAATTCCTTAATATTAGATTCAGTGAAGTTGATGTAGCTCAATTCTTGTTATATGAAGATAAAGTCCCATTGATAGGTAATTTTATGCCATCCATTATTATTATTATTTTTCATATAGTTTTAATTTGAAGTAATTTAATCCATTTATAATAAGACTGTTCTATTTGTTTTAATGTCAGGAAAGTGCAAGCTTAAAACTATATAACACACATAAAGTGTTGTGAAATCAAGACTTAACTTTGAAAGGGATGAACCATTTGATGGTGAAAACAAAGGATTTACCTTTATGTGTGTTATATAGTTTTCTGAAGACAAAGTCCATTGATAGGTAATTTTCTGCCAATCCTTTTTTTTTTTTTTTTTTTTTTTTTTTTGCATATAGTTTAAATGAAGTAAGAAAATCCATTTGTAATAAGAATGTTCAATTTTGTTTGAATGTAGGAAAGTGCAATCTTTAAAACTATATAACACACATAAAGTGTTGTGAAATCAAGACTTCACTTTGAAAGGGATGAACCATTTGATGGTGAAACCAAAGGATAGAGCTTTTTACAGGTAAAAATCCTTATATATTGCTATTTACACATTATATAGCATTGTAGATTACATAGAAAGGTAGTACAAATTGATGCTCTAAATCTATTTTCAATTCTAAATGTAGTACATAGAATTGTCCTTAAAGCTTCTTGGTGATCTTCAGTCTTCAATGTGCAATGTGTCATGAGCATTTATACAACCTGCATTAGAAAATAGATAGCAAACATAGAATAATAGACAATAAAATAAACATAGTTTAATATAGTTAGTCAAAACCACTAAGATATCACATGAATGTTGAAAGGCCATCCACCTTAAAGTTTAATAATGTCCATTGCAATGTTAACCAAAAAAAAAAACAAAAGTCCTTGTCCCAAAAGAGCATAAAAACTGCGCAATGTCACCAAAACAGATAAAGTTGCAGAACCTTAGTCAAACCGCATTACAACAACAAACTGATTGAGTTCATTTTTTTTCCTGCTTAATATCAATTGGTTTTGATTTTTTTTGCATCTTTGAGTTGATGAGAACTGGTCCCATCAGATTTCTCTTTGGTTGAACCTGGAGATATGTGTTCATCATTATCTGCCATCATAGGTTTCTGACTTTGCTGTACAGCAGGGCTACTGGCCTCATCAGATGAATCTCCAGATTCATAATCCTGAGTTAAAAAATAGCATGTTTTAAAAAAAAAATCAATCAAATAAGCAACATAAAACGAAATGTCTAGAAGGTCAGTTACACACATTAGGATCATCCTCTTCTTCTTCTTCAGCAAGTAGTTTTGAGAGCTCATCCTTATCATCTTTAAGAGTACAGTGTGCTGCCACCAATTCATCATCATGGTTATGTTCACCACAGGAATAGGTAAGAAAGGGTTTTTAATGTGGTCATTCTTTACTGATACTTTAAAAACCATAGCTTTGCCTCTGAGAGCATCAAATTCTGTTGGAATCTTTGTAGGATCCTGCAAATTACAATGAAAGTTTAATTTTTCATAATAGTAGGTTGTATTAACTATTAAAGCATATATATAAAAAAAAGGTTGAAAAAAAAATCAAACCTCCAAGTATTTGTTTCTGAGATCATAAGCACTCAATCCTAATAACTCAGAACATTCATTATCCCATAGCAGAAAAGGTGCATCCCCAGACTTGTCACCAACTCTAACACCCAACCTGTACCTAGGAATTCCCAGTTGCCAACTAATTTTGCAGGTGTCACACCAAAGTAATGCCTTTTTCTGCTCAAGTTTTCTAAAACATCCTTCTTTCTTGCAAGAAGAGTAGTACCATTTTCTGGCACTCTCCAATCCATTGATTCTTGCAGGAACATGGTAATAGCCTGGCTGTTGTATTTTAGTCAAATAGAACAGAGAGTTAAATGTTCCAAATAGTAATCTAAAAAATTATTTTGATAAAACTAAGAGACTGTAATGAATATTACCTCAGCCCTCCTATAGATGTCAGCTATGGTGCTTACAATCATAGGTCTCTTGCTAGAATATTCCTGACTGTTAGGGTATGAAAATGTTGAAACATTTGTCATACTCCTAATAGGAGTCTGCTGATCATTCAAACTGGATAAAGTGTCAATGGTTAGATAGTGATACAAAATAAAATAGACCTTGATGGAAAAGTAAAATTTACCTATCCTTGAATACTTCAAACTCGGGACAATCATGATTTATCCAAACCTTGGTTGCATTATATGAACTTGATATTCTTACTTTAGCTGAAATAAAGAATTAATTTGTTAGATGTTTATTTTCATATAGGAAATGTGTATAAAATAATTGTGATAAGGAGATGAAACTTACTGTCTAAGTGCTTTGCTCTACACAGTTGCATCAGAATAATTATAGGGCCATCAACATTGTCAGTAAAATAGGGCAGTACATCATCCACATGTGAATCCCATACTGTGCATTTAATCCTATTGTTCCTAAAATATTGTAAAATATACTGTTAAATAAATGTTGATTGTTTTTAATGTATTGAATCTAGAATTTAAGATTTCTGAACTTACTTGGAGTCTTCAATAATAAAATCAACCAGCTTTGATGGATAACCTCCTATAGTAATTGACTTTAGAGGGTAAAACTCAACAACCCTGCCAATGACATCTAGAAGAAAATATTGGACAACAAACATTGAGTTTAGAGTATAAAAAAAAAAAAGTATAGCAAAGAAAATTATTGTATACTAACCGAATAATAATTTCTCAGGAATTTTTCTGCCTAGGATATCATCAAAACTGCGAAGCCTGAACATACACTTAGCAAAGCCTTTCCTACGGTGTCTTAGAACAGTAGTTTGATGGTTCAACTTAATCATGTAATTCCCGGAGTGAGCTTGTACTGATAATAATTAGAAATTACCAAAAAGTTTTTGATACAATAAACTTTTCCCACTGTGATTTGAGAATTTATCCAAGTATTCCTTTGGGATGTTGCAATGGAGATAGGTTCCCTAGACAGAATAGTTGAAACAAAAAAAAAAAAAAAAATTGATGTAAAACAATTTAGTAAAAACTGTAAATAACAATATAGAAGGATTATAACATTAAAAAGCTTACCTCTGAATCGTGAAACAACAGCTCTTGACTTTTAATAATACTTGTATTTCTCCCTTCATGGACATCATAAATTCTTACTAATCTAAGCCTAATGGCTTTCGTGTAGCATTCTGTGTTGAGATCTTTGGCCAATACAAACAGAGATCCCATTTTAACCAAGAACAGGAGATTTTGATTGAAGAAGGAGAATGTGAGAGTGGTGTTTGCTATTCTATAGTATTTATAGAAGGATGATTCTGTCATTGGGTATCTCGAAGGATGAAACATTAATGAAGATTAATAATGATGTTTCACCGAAGACTGAAACGTCTTCTGAGTAGTCGGCTAATAGATTTCAAATGTTATTATTTATATTTATATTAAGAACTTAAAAAGATGTAATAATTGTTTTGATAACTGTTTCTATGCTTCTATTAACACCTGCTGATAAAAAGTTCTGATTTGGATCAACTTCCGATGAGGGAATTGTAGATATTTAAGTATTCTACCTTATGTAGAATACTACAATTGATATATATTGTTATACGCAAAGTTTTATCGGAGAAAACAAAAACCAAAATAGCATGCAAAAAGAGAAAACAGAAAAAAAAACGTAAAATGGATCAAACTAATAGTCAAAACGCTGTAGTTTTATATGGGCGGGAAAATACAGCCATTTGATTGGCCATGGCTATATGGCTTTAATATATAGAAGGATTATTATTATTATTATTATTATTATTATTATTATTATTATTATTATTATTTAAGAAGATAAGAAAATATATGGTGGATGCATGTGCATAGTAACAATAGTAGAAAAGATAACGGAAGTTATAACGGTAGGGGTATGTTTGTCCAAAATATTGTAAAGTACAACCTTTATAGCATAATGTATAAAAAAAAAACTTAATGGAAAAAATGGACATAAATGAAGGGTATAACCTTCATTCACACTTATTATGTTTTTAGATTTTAATATTTTTTAATGATTTTTTTTTATTTACCCTTTATTATATTATTTTCTCTCTTAAATAACCCTAAATTTCGTTAGTATTAACTTTAGTAACGGAATATTCCGTTAACTATTTATTATTTTTAACTTACTCATTAGTTTCTATAAGAAAGGTCTTAGGTTCGAACCTCATCCCAATTAAAGTTGACATAATTGTTAAACATATACTAAAGGGAAAATCAACGATTTGGTCCCTCAATTGTTAGCGAAATATGAATGTAGTCCCTTAATCGCGAAATCATCGATTTAGTCCCTGGAAATAACTGTTTTTAGTTGATTTGGCCTCCGACCGTTCCCGTTGAAAATCCGGCGAAGGCTCCGATTAGGCATGGGTAATTTAGTCTTTTCACACCATCTTCTTCATCTTCCTTGACTAAGCTTCACCGGAAAACGTTCGTCGGCCAGAAAATGGAGCCAAGTCCATCTATCACGCTCGGCGGGCAATACCTTGTGTTCACTTCCGTTGCGGAGCTGGAATCTGCCGCCATTATTGAAGCTCTCAGACCTAAACTCAAAACCCTATCTATTCCATCGACACTGCAATACCTAATTACTTCCCTATCCAAGGCGATGGCGATGAAATTAGCTGCCCAGATTACCTCACCTAGCTTGATGCTCAACCCGCGAATTCTGTGTTGTATATTTCTCAGGGAAGCTTTCTCTCACTTTCGGCTGGGTAGTTGGAAGAGATCGTCGCCGGCGTCTGTGAAAGCGGAGTTCGTTTCTTCTGGGTGGCGCGTGAAAACACAGAGCGGCTGAGGGAGAGAGGCGTGAAGCTTAGTCAAGGAGGATGAAGAAGACCAAGAACTCAGAGATGTTATCAGCACAGCTTTTGTCTTGTTCTTTTTGCCTATAATGTTGGATTTGGATCATTATCGTCTGTGTTGATTAATGGGAGTATGTTCTCCGACATTGTACAACTTATGATTTGATCCGAAACATGTTTGAACGGATCGGGTTCCTGGTCGAAACACTCTCACCTGAATTCCTATCTTCTCATCGCTCCGGCCAGGTATGCTTGATGGTATCTGGTAATCAGTTTCTAGACCGGATTTGTGGGATGAAATAGGTACCGTACCAGGAAATGGAACACGAATTCTATGTCGGGAAACATGTCCCCGACATCTTTCTTGAAGGATTGCTTCAGGAAAAGATATGGGATGAAATACTGGTCGGATTTCATACTCAGCCATGGAATTTTCTGCAGAAACTTTTGATCTTCATCTTTGAAGAACAGTGAATCGTAATGATCCATGTCGTATTTCAGATTGAGAAAGATAAATGGACTTGGCTCCATTTTCCGGCCGATGAACGTTTTCCGATGAAGCTTAGTCAAGGAGGATGAAGAAGATGGTGTGAAAAGACTAAATTACCATGCCTAATCGGAGCCTTCGCCGGATTTTCAACGGGGAACGGTCGGAGGGCAAATCAACTAAAAACAGTTATTTTTCCAGGGACTAAATCGATGATTTCGCGATTAAAGGACTACATTGATATTTCTAACAATTGAGGGACCAAATCGTTGATTTTCCCTATACTAAAAATATGTTAAAATATATTTAAAAAATATAGTATAAATTTAACATAAAGTTTAGTCAAATAATTAGGCGGCTAAATACATAGCATTCAAAGTTGAGCATCAAAGATATAAATCAGGAACTTTGAAAATCATTTGGTTTTCTTACATTAAAAAAAAGTTAGGTTAAGTTTCTTTTTCCATTTAATTAATCTTCTTTTGATTATTTAGAACATAACTTATATTATTATGCTTTTGCATTATTTGAATGATTTAGGTCATTATGGTATTAATATTTTTTTGTATATATTTTTATAATGGTACAATTATACATTACTTTACAAATATTATATTATTATTATTTTATCGGACAAAATTGTTCTTACATCATTGTCAGATATGTGCGACCTAACTACAATGTTGTTAATCATAAATACAATAATTGACAATGTTGGCATCCCACTGGCTCCAATTAAACATGTTTACAAATCATAGTTTTATTAATGTCTGAAAACTTCTAAAGAAATTTGTAAGTTAATTTTTACTATAACATTACAATATATTTATAACCATATATTTGAATTATTTATTATAATACTCTATTGACAGAAATTGTAGCAATTGTCATTGACAAACTCTCAAAACAATTTGTCTTAACAACAAATAGAAATTAAAAAATTAATGATTTCATCATTGTGGATAAAAAGTATGTACGCCATTTTATTACTCTTATTAATTAATATAAATAAATTAGTAGTTACAACAAAAATTAATACACATGCATTTTATTAATTTAGAAATAGATGTCTATAAAGCATTTATAAAAACGGTAGAGCCATTTTCTAAATAATTGACAATGTTGACATCCCACTGGCTTCAATTGAACAAGTTTACACATCATAGTTTTATCAATGCGTGAAAACTTCTAAGAAATTTGTAAGTTAATTTTTACTATATCATTACAACATCTATTGTAACCATATATTTTGAATTATTTATTATAATCCTCTATTGATAGTAATTGTAGCAATTGTCATTGACAAACTCTCAAAAATTTGTCTCAACAACAAATAGAAATTAAAAAAATTAATGATTTCATCATTGTGTGGATGAAAGTATGTACGCCACTTTATTACTCTTATTAAATTAAATAAATTAGTAGCTACAACAAAAATAATACATATGCATTTTATTAATTATTTAATTTAGAATTAGATGGCTATAAAGCATTTATTTTTTAAAAAAAAATATTCATCATAAAAAATTTAAAAAGAGATATAATTTCATTATTTATATTATCTTTATTTTCTACCATTCAAAGATTCTTTACCTTCGAATTTATTAATTTATTATATTCACTACATTGTCCATTACCTTCTTTTTACATTATTATTTTGTAATTTTTTATTTTTTTTTTTGAAGAGACATTATCTTGTACAACTAAGATTTCAATCATATACACAGCAAGACAAAACTAAAGCTTCCTACACCATAATCTCATTGCAGGATGAATCTCTCTATGCTACAACCAGTAACCCAATTGCATATGATACACTAGTAATAAAAAGAAAAAAAGGACATGTATTGAAGATGAAGAGTTGAAGACAATGACAATGCTACCAAAAAGAATTAAGAAAAATTAGAGAAATTTAAATCGGAGGCAGTATTTATTTAGACTATCGCTTTTAGACTAAATATTTAGACTCGTGTTATTCAAAAGTTGCAAACATTTATTTTAGTGACATTTATAATCAATCTCTCATATATTATTTTGCATTTATATACTTTAAATTACCGATTTAAATAAACAAATTCAATATTTATTTACCTATGTACGAACATCTCCTATATAATATTGTATTGATATATTTTGAAGTACTTATTTAAAAATAACCGCGCATTATCCCATTCGCGCAAAGCGTGTAAAAAAACTAGTAACAAGGATAAGGGTCAAATAAGCTCTCTAACTATATTGATTTGTGTAATTAGACCTTCAACCAGATAAATTGCAATTAGACTTTTTTTAGGTTACCTTCAGGTAACCAGTAAATTACTTGATGATTAGATTTTTCAAGCTGATGTGGCTTCAACATATTTATTTAAAATGATATATTGTATTAAATTTT